CCCCTTTTTTAAATTTCTATGTGATCATAACTGTCTTAGAATAATTTTTAAAGCCTGCAATTCAGGTTTCCTAAAAAGATTGAGATGAGAATTGTCTATGAAATTTGAGTTTCATCTGGATTTCCCCCAAAAAATTTGCAAAAATTATGTTTCAATTCAATTTCTCAGAAAGTGTGCATTGCAGGGTCAAAAATGACTTCCAAATGAGCCTAACCCCTTAGATGTTGTTTGAAATTTATTTTTTTTAAGAGGGCTATGCTCAAAGCAGACAACTTATCAGAAAAATTCTTCTTTGAGCATGACCCCCCTAGATGCAATGTTGAAAAATGTGTGCATTGATGATTTCACCCTTTGGATTTGTTTTTCAAACCTCAAGAATAAAAGAAAAAAATTTGAGTTGCAGGGGTTGTGCTCAACGCAAAATCCATTTTCAAAGAATTTTTGCTGTTAGCATAACCCCCTTGAAAACATTTTTGAAACTTGAAATTTACTCTCCTTAACATTTAAATTAAAGCCTCAATTTATCCTTTTAATCATGTCACTGTATAAAACTACTGTTTAAGACAGAAAACAATTTTTTCCCCTTTTTTTTTTAAATTCAAATTTTTCAAATTTTCTGGAACGGATTAAACAATTTCCGATACAAGTCTAATATGCAAAATCATGATTCGCAGTAAGAACGTTTTGTACTAAGAACGTTTCTCTGGAACAGATTACATTTGTAGTGCGAGGTACCACTGTACAATAAACTGTAATTTCAACAGTTAAAATAAACTGTAATTTTAACAGTTACAATAAACTGTAATTTTAACAGTTACAATAAACTGTAATTTTACCAGTTACAATAAACTTTTAAAATTACAATAAACTGTGCAATGATGTGCTATGGTGTGCTATGGTGTGCTATGGTGTGCTATGGTGTGCTATGGTGTGCAATGGTGTGCTATGGTGTGCTATGGTGTGCAATGGTGTACTATGGTGTGCTATGGTGTGCAATGTTGTGCTATGGTGTGCTATGGTGTGCTATGGTATGCAATGTTATGCTATGGTATGCAATGTTCACATTTGAATATACAGTAATAATTTTAGACATTACTTCAAACTTTGCAGTTGCTGCTGATGCAATTTACAATTATCTGGCATTTATGTAGGTAATCCTTCTGATGCAGTAATGCTTTGTTTATTTGACTCAGGATGATTTACAATATCTTAATATAATGAATATATTATTGTATATAATATATGCAGCTTATTATTAATTGAATCCTTCACATTTATACATTGCCAAACAGGTTGGCACTGCATTCTTGAATGATGCTCTCAATGGGGTGCAGATATTATTGCTCACAACATTGGATGTACCATTCCAAAATGCACCAACAACACATTTCAGAATGGCCTTCATCCCAAACAGTGTTCACAATGGACTCCCAATGGACTCCCAATGCTTCCTGGAACACTTCCCTCAAAAGTACACAGGGGGCATTAGCTCAAAATCCCAACCATTGAGAGAATGGGTTGCAGAACACATTGGCAATCTGTTTCTCTCAATGGTTCACAGCCCAACGCCCCCATTATTTGCTGGGTAATAGTTTCAAAGATAGGTGGACAAATCCAAGGTAGTGTAGAAATTATAAACAGGATTTTTTCAAGGGACCTGTAACTTGTATTATCAACACTTACAGAAAATTACTTTGCCTGATCACAGAAGCAAGAATGATGAGAGCATTTTATTTCAAGATCTGAGAAGGGGTACCACTGGAAATTGGGTTGAAGGTGTGGAATGAGTCAGTCTCCCACCCCAATTTGGTCCTGGGCGAACCACCTCTGGGTATATACCTGTATATCCACACAAGCGGACAAAGCAGAAGAGTAAATGAAAAAATAATTACATTTTATTTGGGTCTGGACACCAGGTAAGTTTTTTTTATTTCAACCAATCGTGTCTCCTTTCGAGGAGTTGCACATTTCACAAGGAGATGGTACCAGAAGAATGGATTTCCACGTCGGAAACGCAAGTCCCGGCGTATGTCCTCGCAACCCGAAGGCCTGGATAAAGAAAACTGAACCTCATTTTCTGGAGGAAGCTGAACGGTCCAGATGAGTCGATTTTCTTGTCCCGTCTTCCTCGTTGCTGCCTGTTTTCAATTTATACAGGAGTCAGTATACATCAGTGGATTGAGCCTGCTGTGCTTGAGTATACACGCACGCACTTTTCTCATGTACTGTATATTCTTCCTTTCTTGTAAAAAAAAAAAAAAAAAAAAAAAAAANTACTGTATATTCTTCCTTTCTTGAAAAAAAAAAAAAAAAAAAAAAAGCTCCACGATTGACTCCCGCGAGTTCGGCAGCAGAAATGTTTCTTTCCAATCAACGGAAGACTTTTCAAGCGATTAATCTGCGTACGCGTCGTCAACAATTGGGAGGGGGAAAGGGGGTTTTCGTGGTTGACACTGTTATGATAGCAGGAGAGGGAACGAGCGATTCCTCTAAAAAAACCTTCTCTTGTTCCAGCAGGTATGAGTATAGATTAAGTACAGTACGGTGTTTCGCGTTATTATTCGAAAAAAGGACCAATTCACGGTGAATTGGTACACGCGCCAGTATAAATAGCAGCTAGGCCGAGGCTCATTCCATCCTTGTTCGCAAATGAACGGGTGCTGCATGGATCGAGCTCCTCATTCTCCTCCCATCATCAGAGGTTGACATTGGAATATGAGGAAGGCGTCAAGATATCACAAGAAAGACACAAATGATGTTCATTTCGGGTGGGGGGGGGGGGGGTGGTCATATCGTCATCAGCAGATGTGGAATGCCTTTTTGGAACGACGGAGTCACGTATACAACGTGGGAACGGTCGCCATCACGCAGGGTCCAGCAGCAGGCCATATATCCATCAGCAGATGCAACCAACCATCATGCAATGGAGTCTCAGCCATTGGAGTTGTTGGATATGGGACTGAAGGAGTAGTTGATGACGTCGTGCTGGCTTCCGGGGTCCAGCGGTGACCCTGCCGTGGAGCTGATGGAATCCTCCAAGTCGGACATTATTCCGTCCAGCAGCACTTGACCGCCGCCTGCAATCCCGTGCTGTGTGCGACCAGCATCGTTATTGGTCTCATCCTCACATCTGCAATAAATGATGTATATAGTACAGTATTTTTCCCAGCATGAGCCACGCGCACACTGATGCTGGTTTCTCATCAATCACACATTGCCATTATTGCATGACGACGGAAAGCCACATTTACTGTACTGCATCAATTGTCCCACCCCTGAAGGTCGTGGCCTATATACTTGGGCATTTATAGAGTACAGTAACGTGTTGACCAGCACGACGAAAGAATAAAATTCATCATTTATCCCATCATGTATATCTAAAGCTGTTGGATTTTTTTTTTTCAGAAGAACAGAGGTTTCAATTTACTGCATTAGGATATGTGAAACATTTCCAGCTCCCACCAGAGTTCTCTAAGCTCACATTGCATATAGGTTACAACTAATTTGTCAAGCCATAACTAATAACAAATTGAAGTCAAGTTACTCTTTTTTTCATTCTCTTCTCCGCATCTCGTGAAATTTCCGCAGATTTTCAAATGATTTTTTGTTCACCAAGTGAAAACAGAAAACATTTTTGCGTCGTTTTGAAAGGGTTCATTTCCATTTTTCCTCTCCAACAGCATCATCCAAGGCCTCATGGTTTCTGTCCTTCACCTCTTTTTCCTCTTACCTTGAAGTTTAATGCAACTAATTCTTGTCTATATCCACTTAAACAGTGCTGCAAGGTTGGATGAAGGAAAGAAAAGGGATTTCTGCCAAAGTCATTTTGGATCTTGTTCTCCTCTGTCACTGAGATTCCTTTGCATTTGCACAGGTTTGTCCCCATCAACCCTTTTCCTGGACTATATCTCATCTTCTTTTTATTTAAAAATGAATGAATGAAATAATAATCAACAGATAAAACTTCCCGACGATAGGAGTGAATATCACAGAGAGAAACAAGACCATGAATGATGTATTTGAGGGGATAATTTTCATTTGAAAATCGATAATTTTCATTTGAAAATTACCTGTAGGTACTAAAAAGACGGCTAAATGTTCTCCAACTTGTCAAGAACTAATTAAACAAAGAACCCCACAGATCCCGACGCTGCGCATCGCCAGTCTTTTCTTGGATCGACATTCCTTATACATATGCTGAAAAAGGTTTACAGTAAGATTACAAAAAAAACATTCCATTCAATCTGTTATTTTCCTCTGTTTAGTCACTGCAATTAAATTGTTTCAAAAAATTACTAGACTTTGGGGGTGGTTAGGTTTGGTTGAGTTAGGTATGTTAGTTAGAAATATCTTTCAACTGATATAACATGACCTAGCTGCCCGAAGGTATAATAGTTCTTCTTAAAGCAGTAATATATACCTAAACTGACCTAACCTACCCTAAACTAACCTAATTTAACCTAACCCGACCTCACCTAACCTAACTGAATTTAACCTAACCTAACTTAACTGAATTTAACCTAAACTAACTTGATTGAATTTAACCTAACCTAAATTGATTGATTTTAACCTAACCTAATTCTACATAACGAAACCTACTTACTTACAGTGAATAAACAGAGGAAACTAACGTGCAGTATTGCATGATCTTATGGTGAACCTTTTTCAGAATTTGTACAGGGTAATGTCCATCCAAGGGAAGACAGGCGATGTGCAGCGTGGGAATCATGGCGGTTTGAATTTTTCCTATTCCCTTTGAATAGCGTGGTACAGTACACTGTATGTCGTTATTCGAATGGTGGAACAAGTACTGCGCTGCTCATCTACAGACAGCGTAGAATCCCCTGTGAGAACAATTTGAACACAGGAGGATAGATGTCGCTGCTTCTGCTTATTCTGTTGGTTGCATTCATCATGTCATCCATGTGCATAGCATATGACCTACTCGTACTTGTCGGGACTGCCGACGCGGTGTCGGAGGCTACTGCTCAGGCTGGGCCTCGTGGACACCGACGTGGAGCTGGTTGCTGACGTCACTCCTGATGTCGTCACGTCTGTCAGGTCCGGGTTGGGGTTGTTGCGGTTGGGCAGGGTTTGTTCCCGTGTGCCACCGGATGCCAGAAGCTCGCGTTCCTTGGAGTTCCGCCACTTCATCCGTCGATTTTGAAACCAGATTTTCACCTGGAATAAAGCATAATGTCGTCATATTCTTGCTCACAATATATATATATGTACAACTGTAATGGCTGGAACGAATCGGGCAGTGACGTGTCAGTGATGAGATGACGAGTCCATGATGCAGACACTGATGTACTCGTCGTAATCAATATAATGCCTTGTTACACTCATACTCTCTATGATGCGGTGGAATGAAAGAAATACTCCAGAGTATTGTACAGGATTCCGCGTAAAAATACAAACTGCATTCTTTGGAAATGTTGACATTTGTACAACTATATACTGGTCTGCGCATGCTGTTGTATAGGAGAGACGATGCGAGCTATATACTGTAGATAGATGCATATGGACACTATACACACTGCAGCTTCCTCTTTCTGATTTCGTGAAACTTCTCGAATCAGCCTGAAATTAATGTATCGTTATGCTGCTATATGCACGTGAAATTCGAGAAGAAGATGAAGCCATTAATTCACAGCAGTGGGGGAGATGATCAGGCGTCAAGCAGAGTTAACGTGATGTGTGATGCTGCCGATCACCTGCATGGTTCTTTCCCATTCATCATCCGCGCTCATTGATTCCCATATACTTGCGCAGCAGCTATAGGGAGGGTCGGGAATTCGTTTCTTGACAAATTATCCAACATCCTCAGCGTATTACCATTTCCGCCTATACCATGCATCAGCAGCCTGATGGGGTCCAGCAGACTTGCTGCTGGAATTTCGTGAATGAAAGAAGCGAGACGAAACGCGTTTCCTGCTGATGCTGCCTGCATGGCAGCAGTCGCGTGAGCTGGCGTCTTCAATAATGCATTATGCACGCACGCACGCGTATTTCGTGACAGGGAATGGAAAAGAGGGTGCTGGTGTAAGTTATTGAGCCTAATTCAAATCGGTGAATCGCTTGCAAATCCCCCGATCCCCTGTTCCATCGGAGGTGTTGATTGCACCTTCCATCGAATTTTTTGGGAAAGGTAATCAGGTCGGGAAACGATTAAGTCGCATTTCCAAAGACTTGGAGCTGCGTGTATATATAATGTAGTGATATAAGGAGAAAATAGGTGGAGGTGGATCGACGCGTGCCCGCATGATGATGATGCCATCGATATATAGTAAACTTCCATGAAGGAGTTGCTAAACTTGAAATTTTTAGAGGGGTCCTGATGGGGGACGAGGGAGAAGGAAGAAAGGCCCTGAGGAAATGTGGGATTCAATTCGAAAGCCGCGTGTTCCAAACGTTGTTTAGTAGTGTTGAAGTCCCACAAGGAATCCCAACACATATATACTGTACTCGTGATTCATCATTGTCCACATGAGTATTCGAGTAATGTAACGGCTTTCGTGGTACTGTACATCGAAGCAATAGAAGGATGTCCTAAACATGTTCAAAATCATGCGAAGAGGGAAGGATTGCTGGCGGCAGCCGAGTTTATTTTATTCTCTGTAGAACAGGAAAAGGTAGTACTGGAGGCTTCAATTGAGACTGGATCCATTATTCTAGATGGTTCATCCACGGTCAGCCATAGGAAAGCCTTGCAAGACAGTTTTCCCGCGACGTAAATGGGTCGATCCAGCAGTACCACAATGCTGCACGCATGCCTAATGATTTTGATTCCTCAGCGAAAAAAGAAGAGGTATTCGACGGAATCCACTTCCAAGAGGACAAGTTTAGTCGAATTTCAAGAAATCAATCCTCCAGATCACACAGGCTGTGATGAAGTGGTTATTGTTTCAGACTCATTGGATGGGGACGACCCATCCAGAACGGGTAACGGGATATGACTGCTACTGTACTTTACTCCAACCTAAAAATTTCGCGCTGCGGAAAAGGAACACTGATTCCACTTTTCTTGTACTACAGTAACACAGTACATTACTGATTTGTTGATACTGTACTCAAACGGACGAGGTTGATAATCACATATATCTAGTATCCTAAACATGAGACGCGTATGGACACCATCAGCCTAAATCTCGGCACTCGTTCCTGCAAAGGCATTCATTGTCTTTCTTTAATTGAAGTTATTTAGTCTTTTACTCTTTTTCCCTGGTTTGGCACGCATTTCACAAATGATGATGCATTCCTAAGCAATAACTCAAATTTCAATCATTACTGAAACAGTATTTTCAAGTACGACCAACTGGACTAGAGTGCTACAGAAAATTGACGCTCAAAGGTCATTTGAAAAATCTCGTGTAAATGTTGTAATCCCCACTTTAATAAGGTAAATGGTGGAGTTGCGCTGCAGGCCAGCACGAAGATCGGGTTATGAAGCTTCAGCATCAGTCTTCGCACTCTTCGGGGGGGATTTTATTCTAAGGCGTGCCAATGTTTTCGAATTGCTGAAATGCCGTCAAGACTGATGGATGAAGGCATGCGTGGTCGTTAACCTATTGACTTTGTCAGCCCAGCACCCAATCATCCCCTGCATTCAAAAGACTTTGAAAAGAAGGATACTAAACCATGCAGCACAGCAATTCCTTGTGGTCATTGAGGTGAGTATGTGACAGGTGCACACACACACACACACACACACACACATACACACTCATTGCTGGTGATGGTTAGGTCATCGTGTCAGCTCACTGGCAAGTTCGAGCCAGTGTTGCTACTGCTGATGCACCACACGGGCAACACGCAGTACAGTACGATGACGACGACGACGACGACGACGAGATGAACAGCAGCAGGGCCTCGACCCGTGCCCAGGCCAGCTGGCCGTGACGTGCGAGTCTGCATTCCGATCCGATCACGAGGCGCGTGTGTATCGGATACCCAACAGTCCTGCTGCTGCTGGCCCTCATCCGATATCCGTCAGTCAGTGCTGTAAGCGTGAATTAGCTGCTGCATGCTCAGCTCAACACTGGACCCATATCACGCTACTAGTATAATATACGAGGATGCACCCGTCATATATATAGGCGCGAGCTGGTCGTGTTGGGTTGGTGTGGTCCTGCTTCTGTTGATGAGGCGGCATCAGGCGAGAATTTTTCATCGGATGAACGCTTTCGCACAGCGAGTATTACAGTATCTCTGTCTTGCTACCTTTCTCATTCGCCCTGGGATGCTATACAACAGTGTGTGTGCAGTGTAAAGTGGTGCCACACTCGTCCATCAGCAATGTCAATCCATTCCCCTTATGAATTTGTTATTATTACTTTTTAAACCATGTGATGGACATCAAATAATGCTTATATATATATATATGTAGGAGCGGAGGGACGAGAGTTTGTTCCGTCGCCCATATTCCCATCAGCAGCAGCAGCAGAAGCCGGAGTCAAGTTGGACTCATCGACTATATTGACCAGCATCGAAATAAGAGGGGAACGAAATGTTAATAACGCAGCCACTCGATTTCATTTTCCACCCCACATGCAGCAGTTGACTTCCCCCGCCCGGTGTAACGTCATTTTGAGGCGTTTGGCTCGTAATTCAGAGGAGAGCTCAGTTTTGAGTCTCTCCAAGTCTCCAACACAATCCCTTGGAGTGTCCCCAATCATGGCATTTTCATTCCTTGCTTCATATCCGACACGTACGACGTTGCCAAAAAAAGAAAGAAAAGGAAATAATATAACTCTTCAAGTATTCTCTGCCTCCTCTCCGACTTAAACCTCTTTTTTTTTTTGTCTCGTTGATGTATTCTGAATGGCTGCTAAGTATTTGAGCCACGGAAAAACAAACCTTGCGCCAGCATTAGCAGCAGCGTCTTTTTCATCAAAATGCACCACACTATAGTACTGCTGCAGAAAATGATTCAAAGGGGTTTACTGGTAAAGTACTTCTTGACTGAAAAATATTCAGGAGGCGTTTATTAGTGATGCGGGCCCATCTCGGGAAGGTTTTATTCCTGCACAGCATGTATCCCAAGCGAGATCTCACTCATAATCATAACTGGTTTACTCTTTGTTTCTTATATCCGTCAATTCACATTTTTCTGCATCGTATAGAACTCAGGGTTCTTGGTATGGGTAATGCCGGAAAACTGGTTTTCACCCCTCAGCAGATTGTTGCGATTTTAATGAAGCGAACCTAGCCTCATGTTGGACAAGATAAGGTTTTCCTGCATACTATAAAAAGAAAACAAATGAATGAACTTCACAGTATATTATGCTGGAACTCGCTTATACAGTAGTATATAATTCCTGAGACTTGTTTTCTGTCATATTTTTCACACGTAACCCGGCTGTTCATGAGTCATTACAAGCACAAATATTAGACTCGATCCACAAAAATGGAATGAAAGAAAGTGCGACCAAATGCAATACTGTGCAATTTGACACATGAATCCACTCATCAAATTTTGAAATAGAATTTACAAAAAGAATCACTCCACTACTGCATACTGTTAGTCTGTTACAGTTAATTAGACATTGTATAACTCGTCGCTCTTCATCTGAACATGACTTCAAATGAATACCGCGTGTCGATCGAGGGAAGGATTTAATTCACAGATAACTGTAGTGGAGTGGTGGAGTGAAGCAGTACTGTACAGTACAGTCCTTCTTCTCTGAGGAAAGTGGTGATGAGATGACTGATGCTGAATGAGAAGGAGAGAGAGAGAGAGAGAGAAAAAAGATAAAATAATACTGAGGAGGAAGAAGAAGAATAAAGAGAGCCCTTTATATATTGTCCTGCGCGGGGGATGACCATCGGAAAAGGTAATGCAACCCGCCTATCCATTCATCGGCCGCAAGCAAGCAGAGAAACCATAAATGGAATCACTTGCCATCACGATGAGCGGGCAGTAAACGGGGCATTATAAGAGGAACCAATAACAGCAGCCATATGGGAATTGGATAAAGCCGCAGGAGAGGGAGAAAAAATGTGCGTATGTTCACATACGAGAGCAGTGCAAAGAAAATGACGCAGCGACCCTCAGCACTGCAAACACCCACCGCACCACGGATCCACACAAATTCAACAGCAGAGATATATATACAGTATATGAGAAGAAGAGAGAATAACTGGTCTGTCCAGTACATAGGGGCACTGATGGGGGCTGATGAAGGTACTGTACTGTACTGGTGTTGCCATAATTGCTGCTGCTGCCCACTTCACACAGTATGGCACAAGCAGTACCCAAGTTTCGAGCTATTTTTGCTGTGACCCCACAGCAGGGGCACACCAGGGTCATAACTGGTACATCTGGGATATTCTGGGGTTACAAGAGTGCACTCCTGTAGAGGACATTTTGCTACCATTCCAGGGCTACGCTTGGTGCACAAATGTGACAGAACAGGAGCATCACACAAATGCACCAACTGTAACCTTGGTGTAACTAATTTGTTCATAAATGTGACCCTGAGTAATCCTGGTGTGACACACAATTGGTGCACATTAGGGATTATGCAGGTGGAACAGAAGAACTTTGGTACACTTCAGGTGCACAGCAGGGTCACTGTGTAGAATTACAAACATATCCCCAGTTTGCACCAATTTCCCCACTGGGATACTTTTATCTGCTCTCCTTAATATACCATCACCTACAAGTCTGACTGCTGTACAGTAGTGTACTTCACAACTTCAAAGGCGTTACTGTTTTCATTTTTTGACTGCTCAAAGTAGTCTTTTGGATTATTCTCTTCTCTGTTTTCTCATGTATCTAATGTTGGAGTGGCTTTGAGAGGTTGGATTTGCTGCTGCTGCATTCATCTTTCTATATAGTCATCCGCTTAAATCAATGATGACCTGTTCGTGGGTCACCTGATGTAAGGAGAACCTGGCCAAATAAAGGCTGCCTCATGTTTTTCACTGATATCTAGCTGCACCAATAAA